GTGTTTAAACGCACTTTGGCCTGGCTTAGGCCAGGAAATATGGGCCACCTGACTGTTGTCTTTATACATATTTCGATATTTAAAATTTTAGTACCAGGGCCGTAACTAGACGCAATAAATTCAGGTTTTAAATTCAGGTTTTAAATTGAGGGAAAAGAAATCCGTCAGGCAGAACACGAATATATGAATATTTACCACCTCCTCCCACTCCCCTCCCCCCCCGATTATCGCGTTTAGTTACGGACTTGTTTAGGACATTATATGGGGTACGAAATATTTTAGTAATATTTGAATGGGGCTCGAAATTTTTCCCTTACGTTTGTGAGGGTTGTTAAATTTTTTTAAAAAATCAGGGGCGACCCTCCACCCCGGGGTTGTAGATACTTTATGACTGCTCCCTTATTTTCCGAAAACGCTAATGGGTTAAGAAGGGCGTTAAAATTTATTGTTTATAATTGTTGTGAAATGGTTAATTTTTTACATGTGAACATAAATTGGCTATTTTTCATTAAGTTAATATTGAAACGTGAGATCCGAACTTGCCCGCCTCCTGCTTTATCACTCCCTTTTTAATTATATGTTTGTGTCTGTTTTTGCCGATTATCGATTTCATTTAGTCGATCTCAGTTCGTTCACTCAGTTGAAAGTTGAAACGAAATCAAATAATACAACAAATACTTAGACAATTATCAAAACAAGCTAATTGCTTGAAGTAAAATTAAAAATAAATCGCTTCACATCTATGAAACGACTTCCCACATCTTTTCAAAATCTTGGCTTTCCGCGCGGAATGATTTCAAAATATTAGCTTACTCATATAATTTCAAAACAATTACATATACACCCCTGGTTGTCCACCATATTCTTGAGATCAGTGAGATGACCACCCCGCACTACTCCACAACAGGTGGAAACAGTGGTGGCGCCAATTAGGGGCTACAATCAGGAGCAAAAACAAACGACCCGACAAACGCATCAATGCCCCCTCACCCACAATTCAGTAGGGAGCTTTAGATTTGACTACGAGTACGACTACGAGTACGAGATTCGTCAAGCTAAACGCATGCTGTATGCTTACGCCATCCCGTACTGACGCGAAAATGTCGTAGCCGTCGCCCATCTGAGTACGAAATTGTGGAGAACCTCGTAGTCCTCACGACGACTTTTCAAAAAAAACAAAGAAAGTTGGCCTTTTTTTGTTTTCCAAAAATAAATTGTAGCATTTATATAGCGTTTATCCGGCGCAAATAATATATTAGTACTAAATATCTGGCCTGTTTTTAATGTTATGACTTATTTACACGTTTTGTAGGAGATTTTAGTCCGCAGGAGATTTAGTTTATGAAACTTTTTCTCTAGTTGTTGGTTTACTGTTATAAAAGCAACATTTGAATGGAAACGAAAACGACTACGGTAATTTCCTTGCACGCGATCAAATCTCGTACTCGTAGTCGTACTCAAATCTAAAGCTCCCTAATATCTCAAAGGTCGCGGGTTTGATTCATACCATAGTCTGCAGGCAAAATTTTCAGCTTCCCCCGTGTGGATATATATATGGTAACAATCCACTAAAAAGGGATGACGACCTTTACTGGACCTCTAGGGCCAACAGTTTAAAACTTATAAAGCCATCCATTGTAAAAAAGTTATTTTAGTTTAGGTCTCCTCCTCAGGGTCCCCACCTTTTAGTGAAGATGAAATTCAAGGACTTTTCCAGGACTTTCAAGGACCTTTTTCAGTATATTCAAGGACCTGGCAACTGGAAAAATCTTTGAAAATCATCTAACTTTTATCCTTAAACTTAAGGAGAGGAATGCAATTAGAATGACATGTATCGAAACAACTTTTGGACAATTGTTATACATAATTTTAATTGAAATTGGAGAAAATAAACATCTGGGCAATAATCCTTGGGCTGGTAATAATTCTTCAATTATTTCCAGCCTACTGAAAAAAAATAAATTCCAGGACTTTCAAGGACCTTATCAGTTTCCAAGGACTTTCCAGGCTTGGATTTTTTTTAAACAAATTCAAGGACTTTCCAGTATTTTCAAGGACCGTGTGGGGACCCTGCCTCCTGTAGTAACACTAGCTAGACAAATGAGAGATAACCTTCCATAACTCTAAGGAGAACAGCTTATAACTGATAGTTTCCCAGTATAAATAAAATTAGTGCGGCTTCAATGTTTGATTTCCTGATACCTGTTTCAAAAACCAAGCTTCCACTTGTCGGGTTTAAATCCTGGCTTGTCTTTACACCAATAATACTCCACATTAAACTAGCTCTATATAAAGTCCCATCACGAAACACGGCCAGATTAATTTCCTTCGGTCGACCATTTTCTGGTTCTGTGACAGTGACACTGACCTCCTCAAACCCTATCTCACCATCAGCATATTGTGGATGAACTGTCAGGTTTGCGCTTGTGCGAGGCCCAAACCGAGGCGTAGTCGGTGGCACTAGTGTGTTCTCTGTAAGTCAACAAATGTTATTAAGTAATATATTCTCGGCGTTCTGGATGCACAGGGCGAACGGAAATTACGATTGGAGCTGAGAGATCTTTTGCCCAAGGCATAGAGTATGTGAACGGTATATAGGAGACTAGGAGCTCGCGTGTGTTGTAGCTGACGGGTGGTGGGTGTGTAAAGCTACGTTTATACGCTGCGATTAATCGTGTACGATTTTATTTTCTGGCGTATGTCATTGAGTAAACAGGCGTAAGCTGGCCACATTTGTATGTAATAGGCAATGCAGTCAATACAATAAGCTTGAAGGCTCTTCGTTCCAGAAGTAGCTAGAAAATTTTAGACAAAAAGCTAACGTTCGAAAAATTGACATGGTTTTTTGGTGGTACTAGTAACGACAAAATCCGAACACAGTTTATAAAGTATTATCAGCTGTTTTATTTAGTATGTTAAGTTCAAACTATATTAGATTGTGCTACAGTATACAGTATGCAGTCAGAACTTACCAGGCCGCACAAGCTTCACTGAGGTCAACCTAATCCAGAACACTGAATTTGCACGAATAAATCCTTCCCTTGAGATGTTCAAACTAATTGCCGCATTGCTTTGACCAGAAGAGAATAAAATTGTCCCAGATCGCTGAATACCAATACTGGTGGTATGCTCGCTACCATCAACAGCATGGTATGTCACCAGATAACCAACAGACACTGTGCCTAAATTTCCACCACTTCTTGAGATCGCAAAGTTAACCATTCGAGGACGGCTAGTCTAAAATAAAAAGTGCTTTTAAATTACTCTTAAGGCAAAGCAGGGTGTATATATCGCAATAAAATGTTCTCTCTAGATGTCCGGTAAGGACAATCACTTATTGGGTCAGTCTTACTACAGAAAGAAACCTAACTAAATTAACTTTATTTATACCTGATAGCTAGCTCTATCAGTTCTCAACTGTTCTCTCTAGAGGTCAAGTAAGGACAATTCCAATTGTTAGGCCAATGTAACTACAGAAGGAAACTTAACTATTAATCTAGTATATACAGTTCTGTTCAGGTCCAATAATGATCACCTTTGTCGAGTGTAACTACAGGATTCATGAAATCTAAACCACACTAATTCTATACTTGTACTGGACACTTCTATCTATTCTTAGCTATTCTCTCTACACGTCCAGTAAGAGTTAGCCTTTGCATGTTCGATTCAGTGTAACTACACGAGGAAACTGAAAGACCTAAAAATCCCTGCGGTATTCGTTGGAGACCAAGATCAAACTGGAAGCATTCTTCTCACATCATGCGACTGAGGTGAACGTTTTCTCAAACTACCTGCATATTGAGAAATTTAGAGAAAATGGACTCGGGTCACAGAGGTGACCAACCACTGTATCACCAACACTGCATAGTTTAGTTTAATCGCAAAGGAGCCGTAACGTACCAGACTTAATATTTGATATGTGCCATTCGACAACTCAAACACTCCATAAACGTCATCACTGTCTCTGATTATAACTTTCTGTGATCTCCTTGATGGATCATTTGTGATCCTACCACCATTGGTCGACGTCAACTCTACCACAAACCAGAACGCTTCTTCTGGTACCATATCATCTGTTACATTGATATTCACCATCTTTTGCCGCTCACCATCACTAAATGTAACAGCACCATGCAGGGGTGAAATTTGGTTTGACAGATCACCACCTTGAGATGATGTAACCATCCAAGTCAGATTCACCATACCAAAAGCACCAGCAGTTCTGTTGATATTGATCTCAACTAAATTACTACCACCGTCTTCATTTACAGTAATGTTACCATCCCCAGATAACCCAAACACACCTACATGGTCATCACTATGTAGGATCTGAATGGTACATTCTGATGGTGATACCAGAGTAACATCAGCACTAAGATTGGTTAAATGAACTGTAAAATTCTCGGATTTTTCGGGACTGCTATCATCTATGATGGTAACATTGATCATCTTTCGTGTTTCTCGATTACCAAACACCATAGTCCCACTGGCTTGGTGAAAATCCTGGTTCCCCACAGCACCATCAGATTGAAGATACCACACCGCGCTACTGGTACGATCTATTGATGCTACTATGTTGGTACCACTCGTATCCAGGCCTCTATATATCCACACGGCGACATTGGTCTGGTTTTCCAATACAATAATGTGACTCAAGGCAAATCGTACTGGGATGTCGTTGGCCAAAATTCTCACTAGAACTTTAGAAAGTGTCGTGTTTAGTCGCGCACCACCAGACACAGACGTCAACTCGAATTCGAAATTTTCATCTTGTTCAATTAACTGAAAATGTTAAGATAAAATCTTCAATGGTTGTTCATCGTAAAATTTCTAACACAACTGAAATCAACTGCAAGTTGACTTGGGCGTGATTTGAACTCCGGCGTCTGCCGCTCTACCTATGGAGCTGCCGAGCCAAAAGTGATTGGTGGCGAGTTTTATTCATTTTAAAGGCCGTGATACACCGGACGCGATTCGACAACGCGGCGTGATTTTTCTGTTGTTGAAAGTTAATAAAACAGCCAATCAAAGGAAATTTTAAAAGATATATATATATAGACCAAATAACTCAAAATGTTATAGCGTACCAGGATCAAAGTTATCGGTCGAATCGCGACATCGCGTCCGGTGTGTCTCAGGCTTTAAGGCCCGGGCACACTACACAACGATAACGATACAATAAATTGTAAACACGCGATAATTGGCAAAAAAATTGTGTTAGTGTCCACACAACAACGAAAATGATAAAATTATCGTTTGACGATGACGATTTTAAAATCGCTCACCCGAGCGATTTTTTTTCAATCGAACGATAACGATAAATTTTTGACCAATCAGCGCGCGTATACAAGTTATCGTATCGTTATCGTTGTGTAGTGTGACCTGGGCTTTAGTGTACGGAATATTTTCGCGACGACTAACCACTATTTATACGAGGTTGTACATTGCTCTGATTTTGTAAGTAGAGCGCAGAATCGTCTCAAAGATGTGAATTCAAATCCCCTTATCCTTATGAGAATTAAAAACCTAAAAATGTTGGCTAGCGGGGGAGGGGGAGGGGGGGGGGGTGGGGGCAAAAAATTTTCCGGACATTAAAAAAAGATTTAAAAATTTACTAACATCAGTTAAAATAAGGTTCAAAAAAAAGTTTTCCGGACAAACCCCTGGTAAAACATGGGTAAAACCCTTTTTTGAACCAATATCTGTAAAATTTAGGTTTAAAATTTTTTTCTCATACCATTATTTATATCAGAAAACGTTCCAAATTATTTTTTTTACTTTGCAAATTTGGGGAGCCCCTTAAACTGGGGCAAACTGCTCTCTTGCTCCCCCCTCTGAAAGGCCCTGGGTGCAACCACACAATCCTCACTTTATCATGTTTTATACTTACCAGATCAGGACGAACAAAAAATTCCAGATTTTTAACATTTTCACCAGTTTGAAATTCCACCACACCAAACGTTGGAGTTACATCATTATTCGCAACTGAAGATGCGACCTTTTATTATACAAAAAAATATATATATACAACAAAATAAAACGTATTTAATTGATTACAAGATCACTATAATTTTTATTCCATGACTATGACATAGTCATGGACATGTATAGTCTTAATTAATCTATGTTAATTTCTGGAAATTATACTGTATATACCGCAATGATGTAAGTCTGCTATGTACTTGGTCTATATATCGCGCGATTGTCCTTCTCACAGGAACTGAATAAAGTTCTATGAAGTTCTATTACCATTACTAGAATTTATTATAGAAAAACTACAGCATTGATAATAAAGTAATAGTCTGGGACCAAAATGTGATGTCACTTACTCTCCATTGCACCGAGATTGCTCCAAATGTACCAATACTTCTTCTCATTGGTAGTTTTTCTGCAACACCACCTGCTGTTCGTGGTTCTTGAACACTGATGCCATTTGGCTGAGAAAGATATAAAAGCATTTTATTCTGGCGTATATCACAGACAATTTCGTTCACCTATGGCTATATGTGCACTGGGGCCGGTTATACGAAGGCATAAATAGCAATATCCACCGGATAGTGATTTTTTTCAATCGTCATAAAATTGGTTGAGACGCTATGAAACTACGGATATGAAACACACAATAAAAATAAGCTTTAATTTTTAAATACTAACTTCTTATTAACCGAACGCTAGGTCTGTACAGAGAAATATCGGACCATGCAAGGTCTTCTTAGTACAGACCGAGCCCGTACGGTGAGGTTTGTACAAAAAGACAGAGGTCCAATATTTCTTTGTACATACCGAGCAAGCGAGGTTAATAAAATTTTATTATATGGCATTTATACTGTACTCGAAACAAAGAAATGCATATTAGTAGCGCGGTACACATTTGGTGGAAGAAAACAAAAAAATACCAATGGACTCTAAAAACCATTCGCAGATATCTTATTATTAATAACAAATTAAATTATAATTTTCAAATTTTCAATTAGTTTTGCTGTTTTGTTTCAACATGCATGCGTTTGTTTTTACGTAATAGACCGCCGGACCATTACGGGGAAATAATGGACCGCTGAATGTGATTCTCAGCCAATCACAGTCCGCCATTTCACCGAAAGTGATGCTTGCCATATAATAATTAAGTTTAATCTCGATCTCGTTCCCCGAGCCTGCGATCCTCGGAAAGGAACGTGAGGCTCTAGGATAATCCGTTTCAGGAAGGAATCTGATTGGCTGTTGATATGGAATGCGCAGTTCGGTCTTAGCCAGGATTCCTGGCATCCGGCAACGGATTATCACAGAGCCTCACGTTCCTTCCCGAGGATCGATCGCAGGCTCGGGAAGCGAGATTGGTTTAATCTGGGTTATAATCATCCTCGTTCCCAGGGCTTCTCGGGTGCCTGTAATTATCATCAACGAATAATGTTAGAAAGCTCGAAAAAATCACAATCTGATAGTCGGTAGACAGTGCTGTCGGGTTTTCGTACAACCAGGCATGGTCCCAAAAGATTACAACAGACGCGTAAAGACGTGAGGGTGGGCGGCAAGCACTTTGATCTCGTAATAACGTTACATTCACCATTTTGTACTGTACAGTGGGTTGCTTAAATTGGCAGGCATACAGAACTCATCCATTTTGTAAAGGTTAGCCGAGGAACGCAATTGGAACACGAGCGTAATTAGATCCGATTTAATGAGTATTTTTCTAAGCAGTACTAGATACATTTTTTTCACTTGCAAACCATCAGCATGAGATTATCAAATCTACAAAATGATTACTGTCAGGCATGAGCCCTTCACAACACTTACCACACCAAAGCCCACCACGCCATTACCATCATCATTCGCTAATATTTTTATATACGCCACATCAATGACTGCATTCCCTGGTATTAGACCCAAATGAACAGCATAAATCTCGTCCCCTTCTGGTTCTGTATCATCTTTGACAAAGAATCGACACTCGTCAGAAGATGTTTGACCAGTTGAGAAGATTGGGTCATTTTTATGTGGTCCATGAAAGTCTTCCGTCGAGTTAAAAATCTATAAAATCAAAATATGTTTTGGTGGCACAGTGGCTGGTGGCGGGGGTGCTGGGAGGCACACACCCCTTTTCGCTTCAACAAAGACGGGAGAGTCGCAGAGTGCAAAGGGGTGCCAATTATTGAACAGAACTATAAATAAAGTGGATTAAGCTAACTCGGGGAAGGGGGGGAGGGGGGGAGGGGGAATTGAAGCCAGTGCATTTTAGTGTTTCTGAGTTATGAGCAGAAATACTCAACACTGAACGTTGTGCTGTATATGAAAATGAAGCTCTTGAAAAACACTATTTGGTGTAGAAATTTCAAGCCTTTAACTAAAAGTGAAATATTGAAAAACTAAAAAAATAATTGCCGATAATTTGCCATTTTGCAGTCGTTTTTGTATTTTTTAAATATTTTTATTTTCGCTGAAGTCTTGAAATTTCCACACCGAATAGCAATTTTCAATAGCTTCAATTTGATATGTAGCCCATCGTTTGGGATTTCTGCTCATAACCCAGAAAAACTATTTTGGCTTCACCAAATCATAGGCCTTCATCATAGCAGTTAAGGGGGGGGGGGGGGGG